AAAGAAAAATAGGGAAACTATACTATGTGTCAGCAAATATTATTTAATACTGTTTTAGAACATTTAAAACACCTAGACAGTATAAAATACCAGAGCGTATACCTGCCAAAACAGACACAAGAATTATATAAACATAAACATTAAATGCTTTTTATACAAATAAAGTCAGATCTAAATAAATGAAGTAATACTTATTATTCATGAGTGGATAAAGCCAATACAATAAAAAATAACAATCTTACCTAACTAATCTATTTATTTAATGCCACCCCAATTAAATTACTAAAAAATTATCTTACTGAGTTAGAAAAAAATGATAACAAAGTTCACATAGAAGAACAAAAATTAAGAGACTTCAAAGAAACCAAGGAAAAAAAGATGTAAAGGAAGCATATTCAGCAGTATCAGACCTTAAACTCTATTACAAAGTGACCCATTGTTGAAGTATAAAATGGATAATCTTGATTATTTTAAATTAAAATTTTCTTGTATAAATAAAACCTATGGAGCCAAGAATAGAATGCAGAAAATTGGAAAAAAATTTCATAGACAGTCTCTCAGATAGGATGTGATTGGCTTGGAATACTGCTGTGGTGTACGAAATGATGAGCTAGTTGATTTAGAAAAACATAGGAAGATTTGGACTTATAAAGGAAAATTCTATCCACCTTCAGAGAAACAGATGACAAGTAGAAATAAGCATAGTACAGTCTTAGATATATGTGTATGACTGTATATATGTGTATGTTCATAGATATCTATAAACGTGTGTGTGTGTGTGTTTGCATGCGCGCGTGCCTTTTTTAGGGTGGGGATGGGGAAAAGGTTGGGGGGGGGAGAAGGAGGAGGAAAAAATAAAGTAAAAAGTACATAGCAGAGAACAAAAGAAAACCTAAAAGCAATCAAAGAAACAAAAGGACAGCTTTGAAAACAATGTGTAGTATTTATTATATGAGTTTTCTTGAAATGGAAATCTGTTTTATATTGAATCCTCTCTTATGTTCTATTGTGTACATGGCAATTTTTTTTCCTTTTCTCGTACTGTATTTAAGTTTAAAATAAATAATAAAATTTACCCCAAAAAAATTAAAGAAAGAAAAGAATCAAAATGGACTATCTGAACAACTTGACTTAAATAAAAGAACCTAGCCATCATATTTCAAGAAATCTTAAAAGGAAACTGCCCAGGGAGCAGCTAAGTGGAGCAGTGGATAGAGCACCGGCCCTGGAGTCAGGAGGAACTGAGTTCAAATCCAGCCTCAGACACATAATACTCACTAGCTGTTTGACTCACTAGCAAGTCACTTAACCCCACTGCCTAGCCAACAAAAAAAAAAAAAAAAGGAAACTGCCCAGAATTCTTAGAATCAAGAAACAGAAAAATATACAGTGGTCACCTCCTAAAAGAAACCCCAAAATGAAAACTCTCAGAAGCATCCTAGAAATCCAAAATCCAGAACTTAGAAGTCTAAGAAAAAACACTATAAGCAGTCAGAAAGATAGAATTTAAATACTGAGAAGCCATGACTTAGTAACTACTACTACAGAGGAGCAGAGAACTTGGCATACAATATTCCAGAAAGCAATAGATACAGGCTTACACACAAGAATAACTTATCCAGTAAAAGTGAATTCTAGAGATGAAAAAAATTTTAAGAAATAGATGACACTTCTAAGTATTCTTGATGAAAAGATCAAAATTCTATAGAAATTTTGAAGTTTAAACACAGGAGTTAAGAGAAACATAAAAAAGGTGAACACAAATCAACAGTCATGAGGGTCAAAACATGATAAATTGTTTACATTCAAATATGGGGATATGACGTACTTCCCCTTCTGAACCCTATCATCATCTGGAGTCACAGGGGGAGTCTAGACAAGACTGATGAGCGGTTCTTTTATGTCTTGAGGATCTTAAGAGAAGAATGGAAAGAAGACAAGTGGAATACATGGGGGGGGAGGGGGGCATTTAGAGAAAATTATCTCACACATTCCGGATGAGCAAGAAGGCATCTAAATATATAAGGAGAAAGAGAGGAGCAGTTGACACTTAAAACTCACTCTCATCTGAACTAATCAGAGGAGGGAAGAAAATACACACACACAAGAGTTAGGTACAAAAATATATTTGACACAAGGAAATGGGAGGAAAAGGGGAGAGAAAGAGTAATGAATTAGGAAAATACATTAAGGAAGGAAAGCAAATTCTAAAGATGTGCAAAAAGATTTATAGCTCCTTTTGAGGTGGCAAAGAATGGGAATCTAAGGAGCTGCCAATAAAGTGGGGAAAGGCTAAAGTAATTGTGTAGACATGTGATAGAATACTACTGTGCTGTAAGAAATAACAAAAGGGATAGTTTCAGAGAAACCTGAAAGACTTGTATGAATTCATGCAGAGCAAAGTGAAGAGAATCAGAAGAACAATTAATACAATAATAACAATTATCATAAAGACAAATAACTTTGAAAAACTCAGTAACTGATTACTGTAACGACCAACCATAATTCTAGAGGATACTGATAAAACATGCTACCCACATCCCAATAGAGCGATGAAGGACTGAGAGTGAGAATAAGACAGTATACATTTTTTAACATGGTCAATGCAGAAATGTTTTTGCTTGACTATACATGTTTGAAAGAGGGGCTTTGTTTTTCCTTTGTTCTCTTTGGGGAGATTGGGGGGTGGAGAGCTGAGAAGGCAGATTCTTGCTGACTGAAAAAAAATACGATTAAAAAAAAAAAAAGAAAAAGGGTAGAGGGTAGGGGGTAGGAAGGCAAGCAACTAGTCCAGGTCGCAACTCAAACAATCACATAGCACAAGAACTTTTACTTGAAGCAGCCACTGTACTTCTGTACACAGCAGAAGTGTGGTATGTGTACTTCCCATTTTGTCACAGGATATTAAAAGGAGGTGTATTAAGGGTTGAGATTTAATAAAATTAATCATTTCCATTGCTTAAAAAACCCAGTAGCAGAAAAAGGTTCTCATGTTATATATTTAATATGAAAATAAAAACTTAGTGGAGCCAATCTGAATAAGTATTATTTGAGTGTAATCAATTCAATTCATCAAGTAACTACTGAGCCCCAACTAGGTGCTAAGTGCTATAGGGGTTATAAAGAATTAGACACAATTTTTGCCCTCAAGAAATATATGATAGTAGGGGTGGCAAGGTGGCACAGTGCATAGAGCACTGGCCCTGAATTCAAATCCAGCCTCAGACCAAATACTTGACACTTACTAGCTGTGTGACCTTGGGTAAGTCACTTAACCACAATTGCCTAATTTAAAAAAATATGTGTGTGTGTGTGTGTGTATAATAGTTATGTTAAATATGGCAACAGATGAATTAAACACCAAAATTAGTAGTAGAGACAGTAACATAGGTTAGAGAGAACGAAGAATAGCAAAGGAAGATTTTATCAAGGAAGTGAAACTTGAGCTGTGCCCTATAAAATGGTTAACATTATATAGGTAGAGATGAAGGTAGATGGCCTTCCAAACAATATGAAACAACATGAACAAAAGTTGGGAGGATGAAATAAGGGTATGTTTTGCAGAAGAGTGGAAAAACTGGCCTATTTGAAGAAAAGAGCTTATGGCGGGGATTAGTGGAAAATAAGGTTGGACAGGGCAGGCTGGAGCTATAACTGTTGAACCCTAAATGCCAAACTGGGATGTCTGAACTTTACCCTATAAGCAAGGAGTTGGCAAACTCCTACCAACAGCCCAAACCCCTTCAGCCTGTTTTTATAAGGTCCACACACTTTTACATTTTTAAATAAAGTTTTATTATATTTAAAAATGTAAAAACCATTCTTAGCTCAGAGATATATAAAAATAAGTTGCCTTCAGCTGTAGTTTGCTGACCCATGCTACAGGCAGTGGGAAATTACTAAAGATTTTTGAGCAGGTGAATGACATAATAAAAACAGTATTTTAGATGACCATTCTAGTTTCAGGGTAAAAGACAGAAGAAAAGGCAAAGAGATTGGAGGCAGAAAGATGACCAGGTGAGTCTACTATAATAATCTATAAGAGAAGTATTGGAAACTCACACTAAGATCATGGTAGGATGAAAGACTGAAAGAAACATATAAGTGGAAGAAAAGACAGAACTTGGTAACTAACAAAATATAAGGAATTTTCAAGAAAGGAAGATTCAAGGATGGTACTGAATGTCATCCTTGAATGGGGAAAATATTGGTTCAATTGACAGAAACAGGGTACTAGGAAAAGCCAGTTTGCCAGGATTGGAAGTGGAGGGGGAGGCTGCGGTAGGAGGTTTTAGTATTGAATTCTGGGTATCTTGAATCTAAAGTGATGGCAACACATGAGTGGAAATGTCAGTATGAATTTGCAAGAATTGGTTACATAAAATTAGAGATAATGGATTCATAGAATCATTCATATACAGGTAATAATTGAAGTGCTGAAAAAGTTCTGTTATCTGAGAGACAGATGTAGAGAGAAAGGAACAATAAAAGCAAGGATTGTACCTTGGGGAAAAGCAAAGACCTAGCAATTTAGAAAGGTCAAAGAAGTATATAATCTTAGATTTAGAACCAGAAGGGGTTCTATAGGTTACCACTTCCCCTTACCCACTTTGCAGATGAAGAAACTGAGGGTCAGAGAGGTATAACAAATTATCTAAAGTCACAAAATTAACAAATGGCAATTAACAAGATTCAACTCTAGGTCCTCTCTCATCCAGACTTATTTCCACTACCAAAAGCAAAATAAAGATAACCTAGAGTACAGAAGCCCCAGAAAGAGTTTCAAGGAAAACAGGGTGATCAGAATTGCATGCTTCAAAAGTCAAGAATAGGGGTTGAGAAAAGCCACTAGTTTTTGGCAAAGAGGCCACTGGTGCCCTCCAAAAGCAAAGTTTTGGTAGACTGGTTGAGTGGAGGACAAAAAAACAAATTTTGGTAGAAGCACCGGCCATGTCACTAGCACTGGCCACATCGCTAACTCTAGCAAATACTATACTCACTGGTCACTACGGAAGTCCAGCATTCGTAGGTGATGGAGTGTGGAAGTGATGTCTTGAGGGCAGATTCCAGTCAATTTGCTTAATTTTTTAATGCTGATTTGCTTGTCATTTTGGTGATAAAGGCACTCCAATATTACACTTTTCCAATAAGCCATATAGGAAAGACGCCCTAGATCAGATAATGGTTTCTCTGGAGATCCTGCTTGGCCTTCACGCTTTGACAACAAATAACCTAAGAAAAAACAAAAGTCAAATTTATCAGAATTTAAAAAGGGTAGTTATTATATTAATTACCAGGTACCATGTCTAACTATCTTAAAAATGGGTCATTTTTTAATGTAAAATAGCTTGTTGAAATTTTAAGTACTGTTTAAAATACAGGATATCTTATTTAAAAATGCATTAACAAGGTTTTTGTTATGTTTTCGAAGTTATACTAGAACCAAATGATTGTCAAGGTTCTATCTAGCTTTCAAATATTATGATGATGCTGAACAAGGCATTAGCTGCCTGTTTTTTTTGGGCAAAGTATACATTAGAACCACTAGATGGCAACAGTTGCTTGTTTTAAATTATGAAAGAGGATGAAAATGATTTCAGTATTTTGCAAGTCTCTTCATCAAGGTTACACTGTCCCTATGAACTGAAGAGATGATAAATGTCATCTCTACTTTACAAATAGGGAAAATGAAACACCTATTGACCCACTATCTTATATCACTACTGGCCAGAAAGGACAGTACAAGAGACTCCACCAGCATGTGCAGAGAATGGAAGGGAAGCATCAGAGGATTCAGAATCATAGCATCATAGTTTCAGAGCTAAAAGATCATCTAGTCCAATTCTTCATTTTAAAGATGAAGAGACTGAGTCCCAGAAAGATTACCTGAGCTGCCCAAGGTCACACAAGTCATAAATAGCAGAGCATGGATTCAAACCTAAGTCCTCTTTCCACTGCACTACACATCTTCAATAAACATTCCTGGCTTCAGCTTCTGACTCTAATACCCGTGGTTGGTTGGTTGATCGGTGTCCTTCATTCTCAAAGGAGACCAAATGACATCACTATATTGAAGTCAAGGCACAGCGTGTCTGACTGGCTGATCAGAGCAATACAATCTTGGAAGGCTCTACCACAGATCAGGCACAAATAGTCCATATGAAGATCTGGGGTGGATACAGCTTTGGGCAAGTTACTCAATCTCTTTGAGCCTCGGTTTCTTTTTCTGAGAAAAAGAGGTTAAACTAAGTGACCTCCACAGTCCCTTCCAACTCCAAATGTGATGAGCTGACATTGAGGCAACCATACTCATGCCAAGTCCAATGTCCTAGGACAGGAGTGGGGAACCTGTGGCCTTGGCCCTCTAGGTCCTCAAGTGAGGCCCTTTGACTGAATCCAAACTTCATAGAACAAATTCTAACAAATCTTATTGTTCTGTGAAATCTGGATTAAGTCAAAGGGCCACACTTGAGGACCTACAGGGCAACATATGGCCTCAAGACCACAGGTTCCCCACCCCTGTCCTAGGGCCTCAGGAGCACACCCCAAAGAGTAGACATTCAGAGAACACGCGGGTAGGCTACAAAGGGCCTTAGATGTCATCTAGTCTAACTCCTTCCTTTTATAGGGGAGAGAGGTCAGGGGATATGCCCAAGGACCGCAGGGAGTGAGGGTCTGAGGCAGGTCTTGAACCAAAGCCCCCAGTTTCTAGAGATGATACTTATTCCACTGTACTCTGCTTCTCAATATAACTAAGTAAAACACTAAGAGCAGTGGTAAGAGAAGGGAAGATAGTCTACATTTTCATACTGAATAAGAAATTCAGTCATTACTCAGAACCCTTCTGATTTTGCCAACAATGCCTAAACACTGGAAAGTGGTATTTCTAAATAAAAGTTTGGCTTGAACTCAAGGTCCAAAGGCAACTCCTTTAAAAATTCTACAGAAGGCTGTCAAGTGAAATGGTAAACTATGACTAAAAGTTACTTCCATTTGCCTAGGTCTCTTTAGAATGATTTTCATAAGCTTATGTGGTATGTAAGGTAAGATGGATAAACATTCTAAAAACCTTCAACTCACTGACTTTTGATTTGTACTGGCTGGCACAAAAGTTGGGCTTAATGTTACACCATTATTTGTAACAGATTTGGAACTTGTTTAAGAGTATGAATATGGAAATACTCAGATTTTTTCATTTTCCCTAAGGAAAGGTCTCACTAAAAGATGAAACAGCATTCCTTGATGCTTAAATGCAGTACCTTCAAGCTGCTAACCACCTGATTCTCCAAAACAGTAGATTTCTGGGTTGTTGTTGTTGTTTTAAACATAATCTATCTAGTGCTTTAGTTCTCTCATCTGTAAAATAAAAGAGCTGGACCAGATTATTGGCCAAGTCTAACATAATTCAACAGCTTCCAGAGAGATTTCTAAACAGCATATCTTTTACTGCTAACATTGGTCCTGCGTCCTAAAGCCCTGTACCTATTTGTAGGTTATTTCTTATACCACTAAATCTACATCACTAACTCTTTCACCAGTGTATTTTCTTCCCTACTTTTTCCTGTTTGCTTCTAGTCTTACATATATGCATTTATTTACTCTCTAATTACACTAGTTGTATCTTTGCATTGTTATATGAGAATATTAGCATTATGACAAAAGTGTCACATAAATACGCAAAGGACAAGTAAAGGAAAAAATATTTTGTAATTAGAACATGCTGGTTTTTGGATCACAAAATCCACCATTACCAGAAGATGAATTCTCTGAGTTGTTTTTCTGACAATGATGACAAGATGTACACTAGTTTATTCTGACTTTTTTCCTGGGTACCTTTTTGTAATTTTATTTTGTAAATAAATTTTAATTAAATATTTATTTAAATAAAATATTTACTTTGTAAATAAATTTTAGCACAAATTTATAAGCATCCAAATTTATAAGAGTCCAATACAGTCAGTGCTCTTTCAATTCAGTATGAGTTTATTAAATACCTTCTCTGTATGGGACACTGTGCCAACTGGCCCATGAAGATCAATCACTCACTCAGCTCTGGTCACTTTATTACCCTGACATAATCACTCAATTAGGTCATCTGGGTCAGAATATTACCAGTCTAGAATGATCATTTCTGAATATTTCTCCAAATTTAACATGCTTTTTCTTTTATAATAGTATAAAATTCAAAGTAAACTTCTGTACATTTAACTGTTACAACAATTTTGTGGAATTATATGACCAAATCTGACCTAGGCATTTTATCATCTTCACAACAGGGCTTTTTATCATTAATCTACAAGTTTAGTTTTTGTGAATCAAATTTTAGAACTTCAGAGATGATTAAAGTGTAGTCCATATTTTCACCATGTGATAGAGCATTTTAACAACAACAATAACAACAGGCATGCATACATTTTCCAGGGCACTATGGGTACTGTAAATCACTAACTATGAGTTCTATACTTCTGTTACTGGCACTAATGTCAACACTCAGGTGATACAGTTGTAGTATTTATGTTAGAAAGAAGAATGGCACAAAATTAAGCTCAATATGAACAATATCTACAATTCCTCATCCAAGGCAATTTTATAGGAGATACAAAAAACTGGCATAACATGATTATTTTAAAATACTTAATTTCTAACTAAAAAGAAAAAGATTAGTGGCTGTGTGAAAGGGATTCAGTATAATCAGAGCAGCAAAATTCCACACACGGTTATGTCAAAAGGCACTGACAACCAATATAGTTTTGCATTTCATGGGACCCCCCCCATAAAGACATGACGGACATGTTAATATGTTCCTTACTGAAGTCAATGAGGAACCTGCCATAGCCCTTGCGCTGGTACTGAGGAAGAATCATTATACAGGAAACATTGTACTTCTGCTGGCAGTGCTTTTCCTTGTGGAAAAAAAAAATAGAAACCAAGTTTAAAAACAACACACTAGTAATATTGAGCAGCAGGCCTAATTATCATGAAACAAAGGCTAACAGTAAAAGCTATAGCCTTCTGGGAATAGCAAAGAAAATCAAGAGAAAAATACCCTGCTGAGAAAAAACAGGACAATGTTAAAGCATTGTTACCATTACCCATAAAGCAATAATCCAAGAATAAAAAAAAAATAAATAAAACAGCAACCTCTAACACTTTCTGCAACTCAGACACTATGTCATTGGCAAAGCTCAGTGTTGGAATTTCACCAGTTTCATACAGATGCAAATGCTAAAAGACTATATGCCATTCTGGAAATGAGAGGATAAGTGTATAAGGTTCACAGGTCTGAGATTTTTATTTTAATACTACTCACTCTAATGCTGTATAACCTAAAAGAAGAGGCAGACAAACAAACCCAACTTTATGTGTACCTAAAAAGTTGCAAATAATCAAATTATATTTTAAGTCATACTTGTATTAAGAACCTTTACTATTTAAGAGAATCTTATGGTTAATTCTTCTGTAAAACTCATCATAAAACCCTAAACAATATGTTTTACAAATCACAATTTTCTAACAGGTCTGCTTCAAGAAAAACACAAAGGAATGCTATAGCTAGAACAGAAAGTGGAGGTAAAGTGAAAACTTTTGTGTAAATCTGGCTTCTTCGTTGCAGTGATCATGGTAAGCCTAGGTTCTATGAAGTACTTGCTAGCTTAGAAGAACCAAAATGCAGATCAGAAGAGATGGCAGAAACTAGAAATGAATTCAGATAGAACACGATGGGTAATGACTGTGTTTACTTCACAAAAAGTTCTATCTATCACCACCAAGGGAATAAGAAGTCATTTAAAAACCTTTCCCCTTGAGTGGTAACTGTGGTTCAGGTCCCTAAGAGAATACATTCTGTTCAGTGTTACTAAGCAGTTTCATGCCCTGAGTTTCTGAATTCTTTCTACATAAAATCTAGGGCCTAAAACCCAGTTGGTATCCAGAAAACACTATAGCCCTGATTATCTACTAGAAAAGACTGAAAGAAACTACCTCCATGTCTCTCATGTGAATCCACATATTTTCATTCATTCAGAATACTTTCAATACAAGCCCACAATAGTTTCATTCTAAAGTGTTTACCTTAGAGAAGTAGCCAACAAGATGGCAGCCCTTGACATCATTCTGTGTCAATACATAGAAAAGAAATGGTTCCACATCATAGTACAATGTCTTGTGGTCAAGAAACAGCTTTGCCAGTAGGCACAAGTTTTGACAGTAAATTGTACTGACATTCCCATCAACCTAAAAAAAAAAAAATAAACCAAGACAAATCAGGTTAACATGGTACCATAGAAGCTTTTCCTAGGAAAGCCACAGAGTTAACTATAAGTATCTTATAGCCCAGCTACTATGAGAGATAATAATGAAGACAGACTAGACCCTGGAGTGATCCCCTTCAAATGACTGCATTATAGGTCTTATCCTGCATTAAGACAACCCAAAATGCAAAAATCTGACCTTGACAAAGTAAATTTTGCTTCACAAAACAATTCTTCAACTTTACAGAAGTATTCACTGGGGGCAGCTAGGTGGAGCAGTGGATAGAGCACCGGCCCTGAAGTCAGGAGGACCTGAGTTCAAATCTGGCCTCAGACCAAACACTTGACACTTACTAGCTGTGTGACCCTGGGCAAGTCACTTAACCCCAATTGCCTAAAAATTTAAAAAAAAAAAGTCCAAAAAAAAAAGTATTCTCTGAAGGATTCACTGAACAACAAACTTCCTTAATGCATTAAAAATACCGACAAAAATTTAATACATACACTTTTTCACATCTATCATATAAAACAAAGTATATTTATAGAGTGATGTATCCTAATGGCCAGATATATTCAAATGTCCTCCACTGTTGATGGTTCCAACCACACTGTTACAACTTTAAGAGGAGGAATGCTGAAGTCCCTGCTGTTCTGCCAAGCACCCTAGAGAATCATCAGCCAAGCAAGATCTCTTTTGGAACTAGGGTAACTAAGAGTAGAAGAGGGTGTCCTGTTAGTTCTAATGTTCCCTTTCTCCTAACAGCTATTAAGGTTTGATCTCTCTCAATGCCTTGGGATATACATATCAGATATGCTGGCTGTTACTCTATAAAAGACAGTGTGCACATTTACCTAAACAATGCACAATTAATTGAGCTATGAAATCATTTAAAGAAGAAAAGGATGGGATGGAAAATTTGAAAGCTAACGTTATGATATGAACCTGTTTTTTTCCTTTAAAAGAGGGATCTCCATGTTTCTTCTAGTGGATGTATTATGCTCGATCTCATTCATTTATTCAACATTTTTGCCTAATCTTGGAAAGGTGAGAAGCAATTACTTTTGAAAACTGATCAACAGGTAATTTTTACAAGTAAATTCAAATTTTTATTAGTTGTCCAGCAAAAATGGACTGACTGGCTTAAGCCTGATAAAAATATATTAGTAGAATCATGTTTCAGCAATAGCAGTTTCGTTATAAAAGAAAGCTATTCCTATCTATTTTCTAGTCAACATGCATATTAATAATAAACTTTTGCTAATGTGGCTATATCTGTTAGAGAAATCCTGTCCCTTGGATGAATTCATAAACCCTTATCTGTTTAGCAGTTAAAATATATTTTCACCAGGATAATTCCTGGGCAGCATGGGGGGTGGGGATAGGAATACTCCATACTCCCTCCAAAGCAGATCAACTTATCTGTAACTAATAATCTTAAGAGAGTTGCCTAAGTATGTTAAGAAGTTAAGTGATTTGCCCATGGTCACACATTCAGTATTAGAGGTAGAAACTGAACCAAGATGTTCCCAGATGTTCCCACTGGTCAAAGACCAGTCCCCAAAGCACTATGCCCTGCCTCACTAAGCAGCAGCCTTAATAAAAAGGGAGTAATGTAAATAATTGACAGAAATGTTGATGAGTTTTTTGAGTTTAATACTATTTTGATATTTACTAAAGAGTGGATCTAAGATTATAAGAGCCTGGTTACCATGGGGTTAATACAAATAGTAAAGGTAATGCTTTGTGGAAAACCATGCCACAAGTTTAGATACAATAAAATGACACATTAATTTATAGTTTTTTCCCAAGTTCTTCAGTCAGTTTTATATCTTGCTTCTAAAAGCTTGACCCTGAGCTCCTACCTTGATAGTACACTTTCATTTTAGAGTTTTCCCCAGCTTTTGAGACAAACAGATTAAAAAATAAGTCTGGTCTTGAGAATGACTGAAAAATGCCCTTGATATTCACTAAATAAAAATGGATTTGTAAGTAGGAAGATCTAGTTTTAAGTTTACTTTCTAGCCATGCAAGTCTACTCATGTTATATTACAAAAAGTTCTAAGATAGACATTTGTGACAACACTTTATATATATATATATATATTTCTAATTTCAAGCTGATTCTAAATTTTATTTATTGCTTCACCATACTTAAGTTTCCAAAAGCATTAGGTATTAAATTAATGCTTCACTTAAGGAGTTTATAATTTAATGAGAAGGGGTAGAAGGACAGATATGCAAATAACTATGATAAAAGGGAAAAGGAGATGAATGCAAAGGAGTGGCTCAGGCAGTGTGGTATGAAAAATCTGAGGGAGAGATGACTTTCATGAACAGGGTAAGGGGACGGTTTGCAATGGGGGTAGGAGGAGGTCAGAGTTGTCAGGAAATTCACTTAACTTATCTCTGCCTCAGTAGTTTCCTCATCAGTAAAATGGGAATAATAATAACATCTACCTACCAGGTTACTGTCACGACAAAATGAAATATTTGCAAAGTGCTTTGTAAACCTTAAAGTGCTATAGAAATGCTAATTATAATGAAGAAGAATAGCATAAGACTAGAAAGGTTAAAAAAAAAAGTCTGATTACATACAGCCCTGAATGCCAGGATCACATGATGTTAATATCTTAATTGGATTTTAATGATTTTAGTCATCTAGTCATATTTTGAATGCAGTACCCAATAGGGAGCCATTGAAGTTGTAGAAGTAGAAGAGTAATATATCATAAGTATACTAGCAAAAGTACTCAGTCAAACGGTATAAAGGGTAGATTGGACTGAGGAGGAAATATCATAGACAACACAGGCAGTTAAAAAGCAATTACAAACGTCCAGGTGAAAAGATATTAAGGGCCTGAATAAAGGTGTTGCAGTGGAGTTCATTCTAGGGAAAGATCTGAGATACTATATAGGTAGAATTAACAGAATTTAGCAACTAACTGGATGTTGAGATTACCAATATAGAGGATTCAAAGACTGCAAGATTACCTGCCTGAATGACTGAGATGATGGTCAGACCACCATCAGACAGAAAGTTAGAGAAAGGAATAGGTTCCCTTTTGTTTTCTTTCTTTCTTTCTTTTTTAGAGGGATGGGATGTGGTATGAGAAAATGATGATTCAGTTCCAGATTTGATTAGTTTGAGGTACCAGTAAAACATTCAAGCAGAGATGTACAATAAGTAGTTGAAAATGTAAAACAGAAGATCTGGGAAAAAGTTGGGAGTAGAGATAGAACTTTGAGAGTAGTCTGCATAGAAGTGATTACTCAAAACATGAGAATGGGTAAGAAATAGAGAAAGAGGAAAGTATCAAGGATAAACTTCTAGGAAATACCCATGTGTAAGGAATGGAAGGACAGTGAACCAGCAGAGAGTCAGAGGAGGAATGGTTAGAGACGTAAGAGAACTAAGAATATAGTATTTTAAAAGCCAAGAGAAGAGATGGTGGAACAGCACTAAATGGATGCAGAGAAGTAGATGAGGATAGAAGAGGTCATTAGGGGCCTTAATAAAGACATTTCAAGATAGTACTAGGGGTGGAAGCCAGATCACAAAGAATTGATAAGTGAGGTGTGGTAGTAGGGAAGTAAAGGCAGTATATGTAGCTTATTCTTCCTAAAAATCTGATAGTGAAGAAGAATAAAGAATGATAGTTTGTAGCAGGATCAGGGAAAGGGCTTTTAAGGACAGATAGTTTAAATTAAGAGGCAGGATAAAATAATGTAGAGTCAACTTTAAAGCCAAGAAAATCTTGGTTCAAGTCCTGTCTCTGACACATGCCTGCTGTCTGACCCTGGGGAAAGTCACTTACACTCTCAGTTTTAGTGTTCTAAGCAATTCTCTATAACTAAAAATTGAAGAGAAGGTGTCAACCTTTATCAGTAGAATTTCCTCATTCAGAAGTTCCCAACAAAATCACAGGTCTAGCCCCTTTCTCTACAGGCTAAACTAGGTTAGGCATATTTGTAGGTTGAGGGAAGAAGCAGCCAGTAGAGAAATAGGAGGGAAAGGGAGAGGGAGAGGAGAGGAAGAAAGGAAGGAAGGAAGAGAAAGGGGTAAGGGGAGAAAGGGGGAGGAGGAGGGAGAGAGAGAGAGAAAGGGAGGAAAACAAGGAAGGGGGGAAGAGGCAGTGGAAGGGAACAGAGGGAGGGAGAGAAAGTGGGGAAGGAGAGGGAGAAAGAGAGACTGTTTGACAGAGTAAGGTCAGAGAAAAGATCAAGACAGTGTATCCAGAGTACAACTTTAGCAAGGAGAATCACTCTGAGACCAAAGAGAAAGAGAAAATAAATTAGGGTGCTGAGTAGTCAGGATGAATAAATGAGAATTCAATTCAAGTATAATGATGTCAATATTCTCAGTAAAGTAAGAGGTAGTATCATCTACTGAGAGTGTAAGAGGGGAGTGTATATTTGGGACTAAAGGGAAGGTATGGAGAAAGAACAGTGTTGCATATGATAAACATAAAAGCATAAATTAAAATAAGTAAAAGGATTGCAGTGCAGCAGTGAGGCTAAGTTGATGATAAACAGCATAAAATTATGGTAAACTTAGCTTCATTTTGTGATATCCTTAGCAGCTTACAGCAGGTCAGAAGCACAAGAAAGAGAAGTACATGGAAGAAACTACTGACTAGAATGGTAGATGGTTAAAAGATTCAAAGGTGGACAAAGCATCATTAAGAGAGAGGGAAAAGGAATAAGCATTTATATAGCACCTACTACATGCAAGGCACTATGCTAAGCACTTTACAAATGTTATCTCATTAGATTATTAAATTGGTAGACTAGAAGGGTCAAAACCTGTAAGTATGAAAGGAAGCCAGAACAGGGTTGACAGGCTGGAAGATACAGGAAATTCAAAGACCAAAGGTCATAATGAGGGTCAAGAATAGGTCTGAGAAAAATAAGAGAAAGGGAAACTTAGAAAGACAAGAGACTATGGTGAGAGAGGAGAATCTCAGACTTTAGGATGCATATTTTAGGCTGAGTACTTTCAACTGACAGTGGGAATGGAGGTATTCCTACTCAAGTGAGTGGCTGATGTAGAGCTTAAGGAGAAACCAAAGGAGTTAAAAATTTCAAGAAAGTGTGAAAACAATGTAGTCAACATACACAGTTTCTCAGGATGATGGTAGGGAAGATGTGAGCCATGTGTTCAAGTCATAATGAAAGGCATGAGCATGATAGGAGACTGGTTAATGAAAGTGACAAAGATAGAAGGAGGGCAGTTATAGTCAGCTGGAATAAATTTCAAAAAAGATGTTGTTAAGTGACAATAGTAGAGCAAGCAAAAGTACAGAACTGACAGTGAGGGAGCAAAAGGCATATAAGAAATATTCTTATTCTGAAGAAATTCTGAATTAAGAAGGGGGAAAACAGCCAGCATTAAAGAAGCCAGCCAAAAAAGTGGCTCAGGGGAAAATCAGATTTCAGGTGGTGAAAGGAAATAGGTTGGAAGATATGCTGACAACCTAGAAGTGGGGGAAGAAAAAGAAAGTAGAAAGATGTAGCATAGCCAGAAACTACCATCATACCATGTGCCTTGCCTGTTCCTTATCAGAATTTTAACCAGGGGAAGCAGAAGAAGGGAGAGAAAAGAAGAACTGAGTGGCAGTTACTAACCCCATGAGTGACTAGGTCAAGTTTTACAATCAATAGTTGGTCACTACTAGCTTTCTGGGGACTCTTACTCAAAAACATTCATAATGAAGCAAAGAATAAAAAAGCAAAGTCAGTTACCCATCAGTAATTCATGTGCTGATGACATAAGATTCACTAATGCAACAAGAATTTAAGTGCCTACTACATACACAATACTAAAAGATGCTAGATGGTTTTCCAACTTAACATTATTTCTTCTGTCTTTAAATTTCTATAGCACTTAAAAACACTGCTCAATTGGGCTCTTAGCATCTCACGTTGTTAACTACCTACTTTATATATTTATATATCCAAGACTTACTCAAGGAGAGAGAACATGTGTTCTATAATACTTCCTTTTTAATTCCCTAGTAATTGGCGGAGTGATGGGCACAAGATAGAGATAGATGTTCAATATGTGTTAAACTGAATAGCAAGGAGGCACATAGAAATATAATCATAATATCACAGACATAGTGCCTGTCATAATAATAGCATACATTCAAGTCTAGTTAATTAAAGACAATGAATGATGTCTCTAAACAGAGTTGTGGACACTATTTTAAATATACTGTAGGCTGAGTCCATTCAGGATTAGCAGAGTTTTGTTTGCTCTTCACACTACTGTCCTGTTTGATGACTTAAAAGTATGTATGCCATAATAAGAGTAATCAAGTTTCTAAAGACCTAAGAATGCTAGGGTGCAGAGCTGGATACTATAGAAAAAAAATCACTACAATTTTAAAATTAAACAGAGAACAACCACTAAAATAGTATACCTTACCTCAAAGACAGAGATATTATTCTTTCTGTAAATCTCATTAGCAGGAGGGTGGAACCAACCACATTTCTTCATGTGCTGCTGTAGAATAGTTCTACTTTTCATATACTTTAGACAAAATTCACAAAGGTACAACTTAGGCAGCCTGTAAATAAAGATGAAAAAATGGGGCTTTTGATTGATATGGGCCATACTAAATAATAATAACAAGCACCTTATTTTTTACAGGGCTTTAAAAGCTTTCCCCCCTCCCCATATTATCTCATCTGAGCTTCATAACTACCTTCATAAAGTAAGGACCAGTATGTATTGTCATCCCCATTTGAAAGATAAGGAAACTAAAGCCAAGAAAAATTAAATGGCTTGGCTATGTCATATAGCTAATTCATTAGTGGCAGAAGCAAGATTAGAACCCAAGTTTCTTAGTTCTGTACTCTTTCTACCACACCATGCTGAATATACAACCTATTATCTAACAATAGAAAGGAATAGGTTAAAGCCAGCATGGCACATTGGAAAAAGGACTAGACTTGGGAGTCAGAAGACCTGGGTTTGAGTCTAAGGTCTGACAGTAAGCAGTTTTTTTTTAACCTTAGGCAAGTCACTTAACCTTTCTGAAGCTCAGTTCCCTTCATCTTGAAAATGTGGGAGTTGAATTAAATGATTCCTCAATTATGTTCCAGCTTGGATATATGATGAGAGGGTCAAAATATTTCATTTACATATTCCTAGCTATTATTTGATATTTACATAACTTTTTTCTGTTTTTTGGCAGTTTTAAAAATGTCCCTAACGAAGGACACATGTTTCACAGATCAAGGAATCCCAGAATTTTTGTAGTTGAGAGGGACCCTAAAGAATCATTTAGTCTACTCCTCTAATTTTAAAGATGAGTAAACTGAGGCACAAAGAGTGACTTGCCCAAGGCCACACAACTAGTTATCAACAAAACCAGGACCAGAACCCAGTTTTTCTGACTAAGCCAAGGCCAAAAAAATATATCACCTGGTAGCCAACATTCTGGTAATAAGTCTCTCCAAACTTAGTCTGGTCTTCTGATGACAGATGTGCCATCCATTGTCAGACCCATAATCAAAGTCCTTTCAGGGCTTGAACTCCAGTGGCATGGCCTTTGAGAACTTGGTGTGTCACCTTCATACAAGATGAAACACTGGAATAAGGCTTTAATGGAGTGTAAAAAAGAATAGACTCCACATATTTTGAATACAGAGTTAGTTTTACTCTACCCTGGACTCTAAAACTCAGGGTTCATCATTTCTCTTCAAAAGAAGAAAATAAAATCAATTATTCATTCCAAATTATATTTATGAAACCATCATATAACAAGTTGATGCATATTATAACCAAGATAAAATAGTATACGATAAAATTTTTGTTTTTTTAACTGCTAGCTCAGAAAACATTTTCAACATCTAAGAAAAAAAAGACCTGGTTACATATATTAGTGGTATGAAAATAAAAGTAAAAGGGATAGGGATAGGGACTGGGCTTCTTATGTCATTAGCATAGGAAAATTATGAATAAAGAACTCTCTCTATTAATGTAAGTTGACACTTTTTCTGCAATTTATAGCCTAAGAGAGTGAGTGGCCTACAGCACAAGAGATAAGTAACTTGTCCAGGGTCACAGAGCCAGAACTTGAACCCAGGTCTTCCTGGCAGTAAAAAAATAATGTAAAAATGTTAAGCTTACTCAATAATAATGGTAAATAAACTTCAAGTAGCACATTAGAAAAGGGTTTTGAATTTAAAGAATGTGCTCATTTATAAGACATCTTTTTTTAAATTTTAAGGTTTTTCTAAAATTTTTATACTTTCTTTGTCCCCAATATTAATGAATGTTCTTTAAAGTAATAAAATCATATTTTGTTACAAAACAGACATGTCACTAATATAACCTTCTACATATTTGGATTTTAAAAAAAAAGTATTCTTGATCCAGTCTAGCCTCTTACCATCTTAAGTGACTGCTACTGTTATTCTGCCTTATTATTATCATCATCATCATCATTAATTACTGTTGAGTACCTTCTGCATCTTTAAATAATTTCTACTTTTCTTCATTAAATTCATATCCAATTGTCTTAGTCAAGGGTGGGAAACCTGCTGCCGTGAGGCCACATGTGGCCTTCTAGGTCCCTGGGTGTGGCCTTCTGATTGAGTCCAAGTTTTACAGAACAAACTCTGTGAAGTTTGGATTCAAAGAGCTGCATTTGAGAACCTAGAGGGCCACATGTGGCCTTGAGACCACAAGTTCCCCACCTCTGGTCTAAGATATTCAATATTAAAATCTCCAAACTGGCAGTACTATATTATATTACATATGTTTTTCTATGATGCTTTAGTTGTAGTCTAATTTTTTTTTTTAATCAAGCATTCACTTCAAGTTTGAAAAGTTGCTATGATTTGGTATTCCTGAGTAAGTGCAACATATGTTTTGTAAGTATCCCTTATTTTAGGCAAATTAATATAGTTTCTAATATTAGAATCTATCAGAATAAAGTTTTAAAATAATCTTTCAGGTAACATTGGTAAAACTACAAAGCAGACATCAAGTTTTTTCTAAGTTATTTTGTTCTATTTCCGTTTTATGCTACCTCAAATTTCAAGGCTCAGGCTCAGTAAGAGAGTAGAAAGATAAATAACTTATCCCTTCCTCACTACTAACTTCCCTAACCCTAGATGCTTAAAGAACTCATTCATAAATCTAGGCACCTAAAGTGAGCCAGTAGTTCAATTAACTGACTGATAAGTATCTTATAACTATCAGATTACCCTGCTGGAGTCTGAAATAAGTTTCTCTCAAAAGGAAGGGTGAAATCTACAAAGGGCATCATATCTTCATGATGGCTATAGAAACTGATGAAACATACCTTTTATTTTTCCACTTTATTTATCTCTATTCACTTACAGCGAAACCTCAATGTACAATTTTAATTCATCTAACCTTGAAGGTTCAGAAGTAATTCTCAAGAGATGATTTCACTTCTTCAGTATAAAATGTTGCAACCCAGTGAAAAGCAAATGTTTTCCTCTATGTAACTATTAGAAACTTCAAAAAAAAATTTTTTTTTACTGCATTGTGTTTGTGAGAGGAATAAAAAGAACAACTGGACCAAATAAGTCTAAATTTTTTAGAAAGTTAAATCTCAGTTTTAAAGGCAAGTAATTATTTTGTTCTAACTACAAAATCACAAAATAACAATAAAATTGACTTCCTACAGTACACAATAGATTTTATCTTGTTTTAAAAGCTTCAGTGACAACCTAATCCAAAAGTCAATTCATTATTACTGATCCACAAAATTTTTACTACCAAAAGTATTTGGTTCTTAAAATTTATAAACTTAAAAAAAAAACCCATAAAATACTCTTTTTCCCTATCTTGTTCCTTGTACCCTGACTCCTTTTCTCTGTAGCTCCCATGAAATGCCACAGCAAAGCTTTAAAAGCAACACAGTACACAGTAAAGAATTTTGACATCTTACTGGTCTACAGTATAATTTGGGTTGGAAAACACTGTGTTTAAGTTTAGGACCTCCCTCCAGTTTCTGGGTCACATAGGTGCTTTTTGAAGGTTATAAATTATTATTTAGTTACTGAACTAACCCACATAAATTAAAAACGTATAAATTAGTACAGATCCAAAAGATACAAAATCTCTAGCACCAATTGAAAGAAAAGCAGAAAGATAAAGAGGAGTGAGTGAGGGAGGAAGGATCCCCTTATTTATTTTTATCCTGCCAGTTTCCCATTGAAAATGTATTAAATCCTCATTTTTTATAACCAATTCCAATGGAATGATACTGTTGGTCTAAAGAGAATCACCTTATAACCTTCTAATAAAAAGATTTCTTATAGTACTAATACATACAACTGGTTTTTTTTTTACTAGAAAAAACCACCATACAAAAACATTAGGTAACGTGTAGTACTAAAGTTTTTGCTTCTGAAGGGTCATTTCCCAGCAGCTTTTGTAAGATGCGCAACTAGAGTTAACTTTGAATATTTCTAGCTCTATGGAGAAATGTTGAGTGTCACTTTTTAAGATACGTAGATTACTCTAGCTTTTTGCAGAACTCCTGGGATATGGTGGCTCTGAGGAGTCCACATGTGATGTAGCCTCAGTTCAAAAACGATGATGAATCCCCATCCTGAGAAACAAGGACGGATTTGAAGCAGTGCTACTCTTGATTCTAAAGAAGCTAATGGAATTCTTCTCAAGAAGGGTTCTCATCCTAGTACCAAAGCAAGCAAATGGGATGGCAGTGATCTACCCTAATATCACTTGAGCTCCCATCTAGCAGAACTAATGGATTGATAGACTTTCCACTTGGTTTTCACCTAGGCATCTCAAAGCCACCAAGTCCAAAGTGGGGATTATTATCTTTGCCTCAAAAATTTCTCCCTTCTTCACACTTCCTTATTTATACAATGATGGCACTACCATCCTGCCAGTCAGTTACACACCTCAGAGTCAATCTCAACCCTTCCCTTTCCTTCACTTCCTATATCCAATTAGTTGCCCAAGTCTTGTCAATTCTACCTCTGCAACATTCTTCGTATATTCAACACCTTTTCTACATTCCCAAAGCTACCATCCTAATTCACACCATCATCACTTCTCACTGGTACTATTGCAACAGCCTTCTATTTGGACTCCAGGTTTTCAAGAATTCTCTCCAATGTGTTCTCCACACAGCTGCCAAATCGGTATTCCTAAGGCACAGGTCTGACCATGTCACTCCCTTGTTCAAGAATTTTCAGTAACTCCCTATTGCCTCTAGAATAAAATACACACTCCTGAGTTTAGCAGGTAAAGCCCTTCAGCCTGGCAGATACAAGCCTATCTTTCTAGACTTATTGCCTATTATTCTTTCATGTAATCTCTGTTCCAGTCAAAATTACCCTAAACTTGAAATTCCATCTCCAGCCTCTATGCCTTTTTGCCCAGGCTGTTTACTCTCCCTAGAATGCACTCTCATCTCTTTACCTCTATCTCTCAGAATCCTTTAGCATTCTTCAAGGCACAGCTCATGTGCTCCCTCCTATAAGAAGTCTTCCGAAATTCCCCTAATTATTAGCACTCTCTCCTTCCTCAAATTATTATTTACTTATCTTTTTA